TAAAATTGCTTAATCGAAAGTCGTTTTTCTTCAACAAAATCTTCTTCATTTGGACCGTTACTAGTTAATTTACGATACATTTCTTTGTAGTAGTAGTGGATAGCCACTTTGAAAACTAATTTTTTAGAAAAAAATTTCGTGTGTGACAATATCGTGAAGTTTTTTCATATAACATGACTTTTAATAGACGCGGGTAGATGGAATATATGTGAAAAGTGCTTATATAAAAAATGGACTATAAAGTAATATTTTTATATGAAATTGATCGATAGAGAATCTAATAAAATTGACAATATGACTAATGTGACTATAACAGTGATTACTATAAACAAAAAAATACTGTATCTACTAAAAAAATACTGTATCTACTAAAAAATTAATGTTTGTGACCTGTGTTGAGTTTTTTAGAAATGGGTTGTGGTAGGTGACGTATATGGTAGTATATTTGAAATGGTCTATATTGTAGTTGGATGGAGTGCAACTTTCGGGATTCAATGGAATTTAGTCCAATTTCCATTTTATGTTTTAATTTTATTTGTTGTTATTGTAAAATGTAAAAAATGGTCTGCCCGTTCACCTGTTATTGCATTTTTAGGTGCAATGAATGTCTCAAAACGCACACTTTTTCAAATTTACAAATTTTCTGTTGTAGAAGCCCATGCATTTGATAATATCATTCCCAAAAATAATTTTAGTGAGAATCAGTGCCGAGAAATAAAAAAGAAACAGAGAAGCTTTATAAGTAGACTAGAAGAAAAGAGGAAGAACCAGGGTAAGCAAAATTGGTACAATTGTACTTTTTTTGGTACAACTCGGTCTTCAAAAGTACAATGGTACATCAATGACTAAACGTCGGAAGAGGATATTGTAAAGAATCCTGGATGAGTTTATAACCTGACAACATTTAACATAGAGAGTACCTTTTATTATAATTTTTTATCCGATCGCTTTTCTATTCTAGTCTTTGGACTAGTATCTAATCTAATGTCTAATCTATAGACTAGTCTCTTGTCTAGTTTATATACTACTCTATCCTCTACTCCATAGAGAGACAATAGACTGTCTATTGACTATTCTAAGAACAAGTCTATAGACTAAATGGTCTTATTTATTGACTTGTCTAATGACTAATTTATAGTTTTGAAGTACTTTTAACTAGACATTTGAAGTATTTCAATGACTATTCTATGAAGTCTTTGGACTAGTATAAAAATACTAGTTTACTGTCTATAGACTAGTCTCCCTTCTATTCTATAGAATAGGACTAGTACATTGATGTAGTTTAATATAAATTTGCAAAAATATAGATTTGGTACAATCGGATTCAAAAAGGAACACTTTTAAATGCTATTTGAAAATTGCATTTGCCATCCCTGGGAAGAACTCCAACAGGTCTTTATCGAATTTTGAAAAACGTAAGAAAGATTGGTGGGACAGTGAAATTTTATTGTTTGAGCACCCAACCACAAGTCATAATGCTGGACGACCTACAAAAGAGTTCGCAGAATGCTCCCCTGAAACCCAAATAAACAAAGTTTCACAACTTGTGAATGGAACCCCTTGTAAGGAGCTTGTAATGGCCACCCGCGTTAGTTTACACAAAGAGGGGAAAAGAAGTGCATCTGAAGTGATATCAATGGTACATTCTGACAAAGAAGTTGCAGCTAAGATTAAAAAAAACTATTGCTTCAGAGGTTAGTAAACCTATTGCATATACATACGCTCGAAACATTCCTACCGGTTTCTCAAAACATTCCTACGAACTTATGCAAAAATAACAAATGCAAATATATATCCATCATAAGATACATTGTTGTTAGCAAAAAAATTTTATCCTCTCGGTGTCGAAATTACTGATAGGTGTGCAGAAGTTCCTTTGCAGAGCTTGGTTGACCATACTGTAAAAAGGATAGTTGAATTGCAAAAGAAGTGTTTTGTAAATATCAATGAAGATCCAATTACAGCTATATATAAATGGGGATGTGATGGCAGTAGTGGACATTCCAGTTATCGGCAACGATGAAATAGATGAAGACTTATTTGCTGTGTGCATTGTGCCATTGTAAATAAAAATGGGGGAAGTTATTCTTTGGGATAATTCAATTTATAGACCAATTAAATTGATTTTCGAAAAAGAAACCTCTAAATTAGTTAGTAGGGAAGTTGAAGCAGTTAAAAAGCTAATTTTGGAAATAAAGCCCACACAATAAGATGCTTTGAATCCATTCTACACATTGTTGCGATTTACTTTTATTTTATTAATGTAAAAATTAACAAAGAAAAAGCTCGCAGTAAAATAGGAATCCCATCAGATCAAATGTTACGTGCACTGAAAACCCTTACTTACTTACATTATATATTTTTTCTATCATGCGATATATTGTATCTCAATCCATGTTATAAAGTGAGATATTATAGAACTCTCTAATTGGTAAATGATTTGCTTATGTAAATGAGATCAGTTATTAAGGAATGTGAGTCCCGTTCGATTTTATTTACTACAGAACACATTTCTGTCATTTACTTTGGTCTAAAGCAAATTAAAGTAAATTTTAATCATTCATTTACAATTAAAACGTGATCGTGGCAAATTGATCAACCGGGAGAAAAAAAAAATTAAAAGAGAAATTAATTATTTTTCTAAAGTGTTTTTAGTGAAGTATAAGTATTAATAGGAAATTTTAAATAAATATTACATATTGCAAACCTAGTGGCTCAAAAAAGTAAAAAAAGGTATTTATTAGAAATTGACAGTGATTATATTGCTTACAGTTAATAGTACTTCGTGTTATCCTAGGGACATTATCCAAAGGGAGTTATATCCTAAGAGTCCGTATAAATTTTGGATGGAATCAGTCTGGAAGGGACTGATTAAACTTGCTATTTCTACATAATTTAGTGGAAGAATCGAGGAAGAAGATTTATAAAAGATTCTCATTATTGAGGCTCAGTAACGAAGATAAAATTCCACGTGATTCACGGTTTGGGTCGGAAAAAAAACCCTGCTTAAACGAAAAACCCCTGCTTAAACAACAAACTCCTGCAAAAACTATTAATTCTCAATTATTACATAATTGGAAAACTAACCTTAAAACTATTATTCAACCCAATTTGGCTCAAAGCTTATTATTACGCATTTCCAAAATTACTACATAAAACATATTTTGCCTAAAGCTACATATTAAAATTTAACCTCCATACTGGAAACCACATTTTTCTAGTTATGACGTAATCTAAGAACTATATAATTTTATATATAACTTTTTTCCTAATATTCAAGCTTAAATATATCTACATTATGATTAATACTTATTAGAACCTAATTATTTACAACTAAATTAAAATATCACAAAATTTCTTTTCCCGAAACTAAAATATGAGCTAAAATATAAAATTGCAACAATATTACTTACTAAATAACATTAAATGTTATGAACTTAAAATTAACTAACAATTTAAACTATATTTTTCTATATTATACTAAATTATATTTAAATTACACCTATTCAATTATACCTATTTCAACATAATAATAATCTGAAGTCCATATGAATATATTATATTAATATATTGCATTAAACTTAATACATTATATTAAAATCAGCTTAATACATTTAACAAAATTATGATTGCTTAAAATAACAAATTCCGTCTAATTAAAACAAAATTCCCATGCATATTTAAAATAATTTTCGTACCGCTAACCCTAACTTTTTAAATTCCCACGGTCTGCAAAAAAACAAAAGTATGTATCTATAGAGAGTAAAAAGTCAATTATTATTTCAAATTAAGATTTAAATTTTTTTAATATAGCCAGAACATTCCATTCCTATGCTGGGCCCATCAAAGGAACGAGATGATAAATAAGCAGCTATGGTAAATACTCATCAATAACAATAATCTCTGTAAGTGCAAATCAATAATAATTTACTATTACTCCCTCCTTATTGTTAAATTTAATACTCCAAAAATTAAAAAGTCCGATTCTCTTTATTACATTCCGATTCCATCTGTTTTTCTTTATCAATAATGTAAACATTGTTGATCTTTCATAATTTAGTTTTGATTAGTCTTCAATGTATGCTCAAATGCATTGTTTTATGAATATTATTGTTATTTCTTCCTAATATAAACCGAAACATTGTTTATATATATTTTTTTTACGTATTTCTTTAAACTATTTTATATTTTTGTTTTGATCTTTACGTATGTTTTGATCAGTTTTGCTACATTTTTTTTTGGTATATATTTGAATATTTAATAAATATGCTACATATGAATTTTTAAATATGAATCTCTAAATTTTTATTATTTTTTTGGGAATGGCAAGTTTAAGGAATTGTGATGTAGATTAATGTCAGTTTAGCTAAATATTAGGGACGACCAGTCAAATTGTAGGGTATTTAGGTTGTCATTGGCGTCTGATTTTACATCAGTAGGGAGGGAAGAAATGTACCCTGTGGCATTACACCTTGCCAATATTATAAATCAAACACATATATGTTTTATTCTACTTTTGGTTAATTTTTGCGGCATGAAGTAGAATTTATATGTTATCGCGCTTAGAAATAGGGTTGAGAACCACGTAACCAAGACTCCATGTAGCTAGCTGGGAAATTAAGATCTTTTTTTTGCCTCTTAACTCTTTTCTTTAGGGATCTGTAAATATTATATTATTTGTTCAACATTTTATTTTCCTGATCTAAGCCGGCGCGTAACAACATTGCTTACTAACTGACAAAGACATAGTTCAACAAACTAAACTATATGTTATGTTCGTTTGTATTAAACATAAAAAGACTTGTTTTAATATATATAAGAATAAAAGGTGTTTATTATTTGAAAGCTACTAATCGAATAATACATATTATAAAGTAAAATTACCACTAACCGTTAGAAACAATGTTTGTATTTTATGAAAGATGTGTATAAAGAAAAGATGATAAATACAATAAAACTGTCATCTGGTGGAAGGGTTACCAACCACAACATCTCCCTCTTTAAGTTGTAAAATCTCTAAACCAATTCGGCTCCCGTCTATTGCGATGCGATCGACGAAGTGCTTGGTCAGAATGTTCAGGAAGAACTATTTCCTGATTGTTTACTTCTTCAGTTGCTTGTGGCACATATGCTGTCATATCCTGTGTCATTGCTGATGAAGGGCGTTGCTCAGATGTTGTAACTGGTGAAGCAGAGTAACGACCAGGGGCCAGGGTTATATTTTCTGAAGTAGGTGTACGTTCACTATTCGAGCTTGATGTATTTTTATTGGGTGCACTGAGATCAAAAACATCTAAAAACGAATTAATACTTGTTGAATTGCTGTGACGTAAACGCAATTGATTTGCGTGCAACTTCATCGATTTAAAATATGGGAAGGTAACAATCTCCACTTCATAATTAACGTTTCCAATACGATTTTTAATAATTCCAGGAGCCCAAAAGTATTTATTCAGTTTGTATACTTTGGCATAAACTTCACTTCCAACGTTAAATTGGCGATCTTTAGCATTGTATTTACGATTATATTGCAATGCCATTTTGTCATTGTAATGACTAGAAACTTGTTTTGGTTTTAGAATCAAATCCATGTTGATTCTTACCTTCCTCCCCAAAAAAAGTTCCGATGGTGATTTGCTTTGGAATGCATTATCGTTGTTTGTAGCACGATAGGCGTGTAAAAAATCACGGATTCCATTAATTAAATTTGATGAACTTTGTTTCTTAAGCGCCCGCTTAAAAGTGTCCACAAAACGTTCCACTTGTCCATTAGATTGTGGGTGGAATGGAGCAGTACGTAAGTGTTCAATACCACGTACCCTGCAGAAATCCAAAAATTCTTGTGAGGTAAATTGTGTTCCATTGTCACTCACCAATGTTTCAGGCCATCCGAAATGTGAGAAAAAATCGTTAAGACAATCGATAACTGCTGCTGACGTCATCGATTTCAGAGGGTAAACTTCCGGCCATTTGGAAAACGAATCCACCACCAATAAATACGTCTTCTGCTCCACAGGACCTGCCAGATCAATGTGTATACGTTGCATTGGCCTTTGTGCAGTAGGCCAGGGATGAAGATTTGCTCTTGGTGGAGCTTTTGCTGTGGATGCACAGGCTGTGCATTGACGTACTAACATTTCCACATCTTTGTCTATGTTTGGCCAATAGACATAGCTTCGGGCTAGAGCTTTCGTACGAACTATACCTTGGTGACCTTTGTGTAACTGATTAAGTACACGTTGGCGTAGACTTTTTGGAACCACAATTCTATGTTGATAGAGAAGACAATCATCAATAACGCATAATCCATCTTTACGGAAAAAAAATAGCATCTCTTCTTCAGACTTTGCGTGCGGCCAAGAACTTTTGATGTATTTTATTACGTTTTGTATTGTTTCATCTTTTTGAGTGGCTGAGCGTACCATATTGTATGTTATGGGTAAAACATCGATGTTATTTTGAACCAAATATTTCACTTCTGCTTCCAGTGTTGCACAAGCAATTATTACGTCTTCTTCGAGTTTTTGTTTATTGTTTATGAGTCGCGACAAAACATCTGCGCAACCAAATTGTTGTGTGGGGACGTAACTTAAATCAAAATCATATGACATTAAAGTTAAAGCCCAGCGCTGTAACCGGCTAGCTGTGTGTGTTGCTATACCTTTCTTACTGCCAAAAATAGCCAATAGAGGCTTATGATCGGTTTCCAGCTTAAAACGACGGCCATACAGCATTTTATGGAATTTTTTTACTGCAAATACGAGTGCCAAACCTTCTTTTTCAATTTGTGAATAGTTGCGCTCTGCCGGTGTCAATGACCTCGCAACGTGGTATACAGCTTTCTCAGTACCATCAGGGAATTCGTGGCAAATGTAAGCACCAATGCCCACATTGGAGGCATCTGCAGCCACCTTAATTGGAAGACTTGGATTGTAGTGTGTAAGCATAAGGTCAGAAGACAAAATCTCCTTAAACTGTTGAAAAGCTTCATCACAAGGCTTAGTCCATTTCCATTCAGAATCACGTTTTAAAAGTTCGTCTAATGGTGCTCTTAACTGTCGCATTTTGCGAATAAATTTGCCATAGTAGTTCACTGCACCCAAAAATGACCGCAGCTCTGTGATATTTGTTGGAGCTGGCATTTTTAAAATGGATGAAATTTTACCTGGATCAGGTTTGATGCCGGTCCCATCGACTTTATATCCAAGGTAGGTGCAGCTACGAGAAAAAAAACTACATTTATCAAAATTTACAGTCAAATTATACCTTTCAAAACGTGAAAACACTTCATAGACTGCTTTTTTATTTTGTTCCATTGACGGCGTTGCTATGATGACGTCATCGAGATACGGATAGGCATATTGAACACCAGATAGAATTGTATCAATTGCCTGTTGAAACGCGCCAGGAGCGGACTTGACCCCAGGTGCAAGTCGGTTGAATGTAAAAAGACCTCTGTGTGTATTGATGGTGAGCATCTCTTTTGTAGAATCGTCTACCTCAATTTGCATGTATGCGTCAGTTAAATCTATCCTTGTGAAGATTTTGCAGTTGTTGAAGTTAACAAAAATATCATCAGGCAATGGAAGTGGATAGGTGTGTATTTCCATGCATTCGTTTAAACCGGTAGAATAATCACCGCATAATCGAACTTTCCCGTTAGCCCTTTTAACAACAACAATAGGTGCAGCCCATCTGGAGTAATTTACAGGTGTAATGATATTGGCCTGTTCCAGTCGTTGAAGTTCATCATCTACTTGTTGGACTGCTGCATAAGCCACCGGTCGTTTTGGTTTAAATACTGGTTTGGCATCGACCTTCACTTTTAAATTTACTTTGAAAGTAGAACAATGTCCGGGCTGCATGGCGAAAACTTTCGGAAATTTATTTTTGATTTCCTGCACTTCCGAAACACTGATGTTGTTGCAAATTGATTCGATTGGATAACTCCAAATACCAAGTTGGTCCATTACATCTGCACCCATAATATTCAAATGGTTGAGGCTTGTCACGAAAAGTGTTGCTATTATTAGCTTTTCTTTAAACATTACCTCTGCTTTACACTGTCCAATTAGCTTGAGAACATTACCTGATGCGTCTCTTGGTGTTTGAGATGGTTGTGTGAGGTTAGGTTTGTTTATTTTCGACCACATAGTTTTTGATATTATTGTGATGTCTGCGCCAGTATCAAACTGCAAACGTTGTTTTACGCCGTTAATTTTAACGTTGATGTGTTTTCTGTTTGCAGCGACGCTGTTTACGGCATGTAAATTCGCTTTAAATTTTGCATTATTTTTTTTATATTTCTTGTCGTTTTGTTGTGTGCGTTGTGAAGAGAAACTTGAACAATATCCCTCTTTGTGGCCGATTACTCCGCATTGTTCACACAAGTGCTTAGTGTATGTGCAATTTTTAACGAAGTGCATCGCGCCACACTGCCAACAAGGCCTTTTCGGTTTTTCACTTGGATTGTGCTTTTCTCTTAATTTACCTTTGTGCTCTTTTGATTTTACGGCATGTACTTTTTGTTCAACAATGGCGGCATCTTTTTTTAGACTTAGTACCCTATGTACTTCGGTAACCATTTTGTCAATTGTGTATGCTCCCTCTGTGTCTCCCTCCAAAAGGTTCAAAAGGCGCGCTCTGATATCGGTGTCTTCTGCGCTTTGCAAGCCACGAAGAAACATCAGACACTTAAAATGGTTTTCCTTTAGTTTGCCAAACTCAAAATTATCGCAATTACGATTTACCATAGCACCATATGTAACAAAGTCGATACCACAACTTTTAGTAAATTGAAGACAATTTATTCGTGCACTAAAAAGAGACTCTTTTCTTCCAAAAATAGTTTTCAATGTAGAAACTGTCTCTCTGAAATCCAAATCACGAGGCACTTTAGGCAAAATATAGTCGGCATACTTGTCGAAAACATCAGGTTCTAATTTTCGCAAAACTAACCTCACTTTTTCGGCATCATCTAATTTGTCGGCATCTTCACCGAAAAGATGTTCATAACGAGAGTACCAAGCCTCAAAAGTTTGGTTAGAATCAGCATTATAGGCAAATTCCTTTATATTTTTGGACAACATACCCATTACGGTATCAGAGCTTGTTGACGGAGCATCTGATGTGGCTGAAGCACTTCTAGACATTGATACTAAGTGTTCCATTAGCCTTTGCTGTTGTTCCATTTGAATTTGCTGCCGCTGCAATGTTTCTTGTTGTTGAGCAAGAATTTGCTTTAGGGTTTGATCCATTTCTTATTTTTTTTTGTTTGTTTTTGATTCAAAAAAAAAAAAAATAAAATAAAATAAAAAAAAAACTATTCACAACCGACAGTATTTGTAGAGCGTGTTTTCCTTTTTTTTTTTTTAATAAAAAAAACTATCCTCGTCGCCACTGTTATGTTCGTTTGTATTAAACATAAAAAGACTTGTTTTAATATATATAAGAATAAAAGGTGTTTATTATTTGAAAGCTACTAATCGAATAATACATATTATAAAGTAAAATTACCACTAACCGTTAGAAACAATGTTTGTATTTTATGAAAGATGTGTATAAAGAAAAGATGATAAATACAATAAAACTGTCATCTGGTGGAAGGGTTACCAACCACAACACTATACATACAAGAAAAATTGAGAAATAGAATGTCTTTATTAGTTGATATTCCTAGGCCTGGGTCAGGAAATACTAATAACGGTAACACTGCAAAAAGATTTTTTTAAGAGCCAATTTTAGCTGCTATTTTGACTGTAGTCAATGTAGAATTAGTAAGCAGATTTAGTGTAATTTTACGAACTATGTCGTACTGGTATAAAGTTAATACACATTCATTTCAAATGTATTGTATGCAAACAGCAGAAATATATGTTGCACTATATCCATGGTTTTATATGTCGTCTTTCGTGCACAAAATTTTAATTCATGGTGCCGATATTATAAACCACGTATTTCTACAAATAGCGATGATGCCTGAAGAAGCTCAGGAATCGAAAAATAAGGATCTACGGAATTTAAGAGAACAACATACACGAAAAATTCAAGAAAAAACACAATGGAAGATTTGTTATATTCACTTCTCTTCTGATCCTCTTATTTCTAAACGGCCTTCTTTATATTTCCAAAACCAAATAATAATTTAGAACTAAATATACAAGAAAACGCTGTTTGTTCTTATAATTCTGATTCTCATTAGAAACATGCATTTTTGCCTTAAAACTCTGTATCAGTTGTGCAAATTTTTTTATATCTAAATTATTAAAATAAATGAAATGTGTTTGAAATTTACTTTTTTATACTTTTCCAAGTGAAACAAAAATAAATAATTATGTTTCAAAGCTGTTTTAAATTAAATAACGCCAGAATGCGTATTTCGACCACTGTGCGGTGACGAAGTTAAGTACATAGGTGTAATCCTTGACCGGAAATTGAAATGGAGACACCACATAGAGGACAGGATCAACAAGGAACATCGATGCTGGGCGATATATAGGAGAACTATAAGCATGAAATGGGGTCTTAGTCCTACTGCTTTGGACAAAAAGTGTAATATCAAACTACTACAGGGAATTCAACGTACATGCTGCTTGGGTATAAGTGGTGCCATGTGTACTACTTCAACCAAAGCTCTGGAAACGTTGCTAGATATTCCACCCATTGAAACATATTTAAATTATGAGGCGGTGCTTGCAGCCGAACGGCTCTTTACTTTAGGCGAACTGGCTAAAAGCGGTTATAGGACACGTCATCAATGTGTACTGAACACATTGGAAGGTTTTACACAATCATCGGACGTGCCTGATCGCATACCAGACACAGAATATGTCGGAAACTTTGAAACGCTGATCCCAGAAAGAATGTCTTGGTCAAGCGGAATACTATAGCAAATACCAGTAGGAATCCGTTGTTACATGGATGGCTCTAAATTGGGGGACAAAGTGGGCCTGTGTTCTATATTGAAGACCCAGAAACTGAAATATACCACCGTTTACCTAATCATAAAACAAGCTTCCAGGCAGAAGTCCGAACAATAACGGAATGTGTAAATTTTATTAGAATAAATATGGTGCCCACAGCCATTAATATATTTACCGACAGCCAGAAGCCAGTTAGGGCAATATCAGGTGATAGAAATAAATTTAAGACCGTATTGGATTGTAAGAAAGCTTTGACTGAATACTCTCCCAGAGGTAAGGTTTACATCATATGGATACCAGGCCACTCGGGAGTAGTCGACAATGAAAGGGCGAATGTAATAGCTTTAAAGGGAAGGGAGCTCGAGGTAGTTAACCTGACAAACGCAAAACCATTCGACGCAACAAAAGCTGAATTAAAAATATGTGTGAGAGAATCTCATAAGGCCTCTTGGAATAATGAAATGGTGTTTAGAACCACAAAGATCCTATGGGGTGACCCTGATGAGAACAAGACGAGAAATCTCCTCAAAATGTGAAAGTCTGAAGTTAGTATGATGGTACGTATTCTGAGTGTACACACAGGCCCGATAGTGGCCTAGGTGTATTTCTTCGGATTTGATGTATTATTATACATCCTCCTATCAACCTAACCTAACTTAACAATTATAACTAAAATATTTTTAATTGACCACGCCCACTATTAAAAATGTAAAATTTGATCCGGAGTACTTGGTACAAATATTTGAATTTGCGATATCTGTTAGAAATCCACAATTAATACATATATCCTCGTATTAACAGTTCTATCTATGAAAGATCTTTTCGTGTCCGAAATACAAGGATTTGGAATTCTCTACCCAGGAATTTCATGAACTTTTAGGTTTAACCTTATTTATATTATTAAATTTGTAATTTTTTTATTTAAAATAGCAATACCGAAATAAGTCAAAATACTGATAACGCTAAAATATCGTTACCGTTATTCTATTAAAAAAATTAAAAAGGGATAAATCTTAATTAATATTGTTAACATAACTACAGACTTGACTATAGAATACAATATAGACTATACTATAGAATAGATTATAATCTGACTATATTCTAGTCTATAGTATAATCTTTAGTCTGGCCTTGCTTATAGTTTAGTCTATATCTCGTTAGTCTTTATCTCTAATTACAAGTACCAACAATTAAATATTAATACTTACATTTTTAATAAAGAATTTTTAATTTTAACCATTCTACAACATTATCGTTTATTTATTGTATTATATTTTTATAGACTGACAACGGATCGAACTTAGCAAGTCATTTAAAATGAAATAAGTCACTAAAGTACAAGCCAAAATAGAAAAATATTCTGCAACAGAGTCAGAAGCAAATTATGATGACATAGGTCCATAATTGGTCCTACGCTCCATAGAAAGGTCCACTTTAGAAAATGAATTTAACGTTCATAACTAACTTAAAAATGCCAGCGTAGCAATGAAATGTAAAAATCTCTCTACCAAATTGTATAATGATCGGTTCATAATTGGTCCGATTCAGAAAATGACTTTAACGTTCATATCATGTTTTAAAATGCCAGTATAACGATGGAATTTTACAGATAATGTTTCATATTAACACAAATCTATATACGAACTATTATGAGGATTCGACCATAATTTACCCTACCTACAAGCTCCCTTTCCGAAAATTACTTTAAAATGCCAGTATAGTAATGAAATATGACATAATCGAATTTTATACAAACCGAAATCTCTATACTAAGATCTATGAGGAACGGCCCATAATTGACCCTTACTCCTTCAAAAAATGATTTTAAAGTTCTTTTCGGACTTAATAATACCATAATAAAACAAGTTTTGCAGGAATATATTACTTCTTTAAATTATGTAGATCTTGGTCCATAATTGACACAATCCTACATTGAAGGCCCTATTCTATTAGAATGACATTTATTAGATTAATTGTCAAAGTCCATATATAGGACCGAAATTTACTTTTCAATTTCGGAAGTGGTCCTATCTATATTTTCTCCATAGCCGATATAACACCCCTACTTGATAATTATTTTAATCATATTGAAATTTACGCTAAAATATTTTTTTAGTACACTGCCGTTACCGTTAAAATAGTGATACCGAAATATACCGAAATACCGAGAACGCTAAAATAGCATTACCGAAATAAGTCAAAATACCGACAACGCTAAGATTCCATAACTAAATTAAGCCAAAATACCGATAACGCTAAAATATCAATACCAAAATAAGTCAAAATACCACTACCTTATCACATAATAATAATACATCTTGCCTATATTTATGAAACCTAATTTTAAAAGAAAGAATATCTTACATAAAATCAGTTTATAGTAATAAATCATTCCAAAAGTTTAGCATTATGATAGAATTATGGTAAAATTAAAAAATATATTATTTCGTTAAATTATGGAGATCTTGGTCCATAATTGACACAATCCTACATTGAAGGCCCTATTCCGAAAATCGCCCTGACATTCATTAGATTAAATGTTTTAACAAAAACATGATTTTGGTGTCCATACAGAGTGAGTCGGTTTGTACATACATATGAATATTCTTAGCAACGACATACATACATATGTACATATTTAGGAATAAATAAAACATAGCAACGTATTTTTAAGTTTTCTTAATTTGTTTATTTGCTAACAAGAAATAATAAAAGCAAAATGTTTTGGGGTTTTAGTGAAGCACTCGATTTATTTAGCGAATATTTAAATATTTTCAAATATAAGAATGAAAATTCGGAACAAGAAGGCAAAGAAATGCCCACGGAATATCAAAATTCAAATAGTAAACACCTTAAAGAAGAGATAAACATATTGCTTTTTGGGGCAAATGATCCACGACATGTAATTAAGACAATGGCTAAAATATACACCCACAAGCTGCAAGGAATGGCGACAAATTTAAATTTCTACATTGTAGATGGCTGCATCGAGGTAGTGGCACGAAATATGGCCTTAATAGGTATAGCATTGGAAAGCCCTGAAATTTTAAATCTTCGAACTAAAGTGCATTTATTTATGGATATATACGGAAATGCGTTAGTGCGGGCTTCATCTTATCATTACTTGGAGGTTAAGACCAAGTCCTTGCTCAACGCAGTCACCGATGAAGCTTATTTGCATAAACTGACACCAATGTTTAATATCGATCATATGAAATATCGGGAACGTGATGGCTTAGAAACCTCTTTCAGTTTTTGGCTATCAAAGCAAAACCATATTTTTAAAATCGAAGAATACTGGAATAGTCGATTAAAAAATTTAATGGGAGTGCGTTATGACTACAGAGAAGGGCAATTTGACTGGGATCTTAATATGGTTTTAAAAGAACGTAAAGGGAAGCAAATATGTTCGCAGGTAATAAGTATAGTAAAAATACATACACATAATCTGATATTCGTACTTTTTCTTATAACATTTTCGTAAAGTATTGTGAAAAAACCTTTAATATTTTTTAAAAGTCTGTGAGGTCTGACCACTCGTTTAGAATTCCTATATTTGTTTCCCAAATATTTCTATTCGGTCTCATTGTACTTGATCTCTAATCAAATTCCTGTTTTCTTCATAGGAATATCGTTATTGGCGTGAAACTGGAATTGCTTTCACATTTCCGGAGTATGAATACAGTAAACCGAATAAAACATTATCAGCTGGATTAGTTCGCAATGGTAATCAATTTATTCATCGTGGATATATTGGCGATATTCAAACCGGGCCTTTTGCAGCATTTGGTTTAAGCACAAATGATGAACGAATGAATAAATCCGTACATGGAGAAAATGACTATCGATCAACGGATATTACCGAACGAAACCTGCTCGAGTTATTTCATGAGTTAGCAACGCAGACATTATACAAACACGATGTAGCTCTGTCGCGCAAATATGGTGCAATACGACTTAAAATGGCTAATCGCTTGATACATAATGAGTTTGATACAGAAGATATAAAGGATTATAATAAACCTTGGATATATATTGATCGAGTTAAGATACATTTTTTATCGTCAGATGATATTTTAGCACTACAACAAAACGTATCCGGCCAATGGTCAAAGTTTTTCGACATAGCCTTTGTAGGGCACAATTATTTTACATTTCTTCAAGATAACTTTGTTAATGTTTTAACTCCACAATCCCTTTTAATAATGGAGACTAAATTATTGTCGACATCACGAAAGGAGGTTATAAATGACTTCGAAGAGAAACTTTTTGATTTTGCCAAACGAAACCATTTTCAAGATGTCATTAATTACAAAGCTGTTAATATGAAGAATTCATTTTTAAAATTCAAACGTACTTTCAATTTAACTCAATAAAGGAATTTACTTAAAACACAACTTCAAAATATACCTTGTTTTTATAAAATTTATAAATGCAATTTCTCCAATTTTCGTCTAGTAGTATTTTAAAAATAAATTGATACGGTTAAAGTGTTCCAAATTATAAAAATTCTAGAGTTTATGATAATAACGCAAATGCAAATAACATGGTTAAAATAATGTCTCAACTAAACAGTTTTCTATGATTTATATTTATTTCTAAATCTCTCATATTCATATTTTGCAGTTATTTCCATTAATTATTTTTAGAAACATTTTATTTTCAACTTAAACACTCGATCGAGCATTTAATCAGCAAGTATACAGTAAAACTTAAATATACATTTACGCAAATATACAACAAATATTTTTTACATAATAAAAAAACTAGTGTAGCAAGATCATTGCCTTTCTTTCTTTTTAGAACCCCATGTAGATAAATTAAACTGTAAGTCATTCTTATGGGAACGTATTTTATTATTGTGGTTATATTCTAAACTGTCGTCTTCATTTCGTAACAATCGATCAATACGAACGTTCACACGATTTGCATGTTTATTTAATTTGTTTCTAAAATTCTCTGCATCTTTTTTCAAGTCGATTACCTTTCGACGCGGAACATGACGTAGTGCTGTCATCCAATCACTAGTATGTTTAAGATCCAACATAATATTAACCATTTGATTTAGGGTAAGAGATTTCCCGGAACCAGCACCCCACTGCAAGTAATGATCAAGAGGTAAACGTGCCATCCGTAGACCCAGTCTCTTGGCCTTTGCCAAAGACAATGGCTCATTGTTTATCTGCAAGATTTATAGTAAATAAATGAAAAATATTAAATGATTCAGGTTATTCGAAAAAAAAAACATACAGTATCCACCATAGCGCCTACAATATAAACATCATCAGGATTATATTCAACCAGATCAGTGCGGCAATGTGGTGTCAAATAGACCAAATTCTCTTTAGGGAATATTTCTGTAAAACATTTCTCGTGAACGTTCATTGGAAATTCTGGATTTAACATTGTTGGTATATAACGTTGTAAACTCTTCATACATGGTGTGTCCAGGTTAACATTACAATAGTGCAAGTCGAAAGGATCATCGTGGGCTCGATTCTCAGCAAAACAAAGCATTAACTGTTTCGCAGCATTTTCTGCTTCTCTTTTAGTCATATGGTCATCATATGAGCAGTCTAATACGATTTTTGGAGAAAACTGCATAGCCCTTATAAGTCTGAAAGACGGAAAGTGAAAAATCTAATATGGAAATTGTATTGATGATTTACCTGTGATTCATCCAATTATTAATGGTCGAATCGTAAACTCTTAAAAACATTGAAACATGACCTAAGCCATAAACAATGTGAGGATTTTCTGCTCTCTCTTGGCGTACTTTCTCCATTCTTTCTTGTGATGCCAATGCTCTCTCCTCTTTTTTGCGCTGTTTAGATTCCTTTTTCATTTCAACTTGCCACAGAAAACTATAATACTTCATACGAGCAGATTTTGATGATAATGTTAAAACGTGCTCCCAGTGATGATCCTTAAAGAATTCTAAAGACGGGACACGTCGTCCTTCCTGATTTGCGATGTCAACTTCTAGTTGCAAAACCTTTAACCGTTTTTTCTTTTCATCTTCAGTAAGTTCAATATTAGAATTTATAGATCCAACATTATCCAGTACACTTTCCTTATTTTTCGATATTTCACGTGCAAATGGATTTGAATGTGTCTTCACCGGTACCTGATTTGTTTGAGAGCTACTCAGGTCTCCTGAAAATTCATTTGTTGTCTTCAACCGAGCACCGAAATGTCCAATTTGTCCTCGTTGGCGGTTAAGTGGCCTCACCACATTTATTCTAAGAAAATTTTTTAACATTTTCTTTAATAAATTGCTCTCAAAAATATTTATTCTTCTAACTCTTGAATAACATTTATTTATTGTTTTACTGAACGAATAAAATTTGACATTTCTGAGTGTACACATACAGTGGAGACAACTGTCCCTAGTTGATTATTTTTTTCAATTGTAAAAGTAACAAAAACAACAGGCAATATTTGACAGAATTGTAGACGAATAATAAGAATTTTGCCTGTGGTTGTTGTAGATGTTTGTTACTCATGAAGTACTGTCGTCATTTTATAAATACACAGCCTATAATTGTATTCACAATAACCAGACAGTGATACCAAGTTTTAAACAAACCATTTTCATCGAATTTTGAATTTTTCTTAACCCAATGAATTTTGAGGGGCAAATTTTGCTGAAATACCTCTCCGCGAGTTTGATTATAATTATGTACATATAAAAACGCATTTTTGCTGAAACTTAGCAAAATTACTCAGCCTCATTCACAATGACGCACTCTACATTTTTCTCGAGTAAACTGCTTTACCGATAGCAAAAATCTGCTTTACCAATATTTTTTGTAGCGACTTTGGGCATATCAAAAATATGAAAAAAATTGTATTTTATTTCACGAATCGCAATAAATAAGTTATTTAATTAATTTATCCTGTAAGAGTTGTATAAATCGACTTTTTGTTGAAGACTATTTGATTCAAATTCGGAAAATCTACTTCTTGTAGAAATATTATAGTTACAGCTTGATTACAATTGGAACCACAACCGCTGTCGACAATGAGTTTTCATACATTTTGTATAGAGAGCAAAATATCGTCTTGTGGTTGGCGATTCGCCAATGGCGATATTGTGGTTGAGATAGATCAAAGCGAATTCATATAAGGTGGTGTTATTCAATCAGCTGATAATTTTTTTCTTAATTCGCCTGGTTTACGTAGCTGTCAAAGTTTGTTATTGTTTACATTTTTATATTTAAAAATGTCCGTTAAACGGAGAAAAACTTCGTTAATATTTTGAATTATTTATGTAAAAAATCTGAAAATACCAAGCATCTCGTAAACAAATATCATTTTATTTAAATAATGGCATAATTGGTATGTATACAAATATGTTATTTAAGAAAAATATTATTTTCTATTAAATGTTAACATATTACACAATATTGTTATATATTTTATATTAAAATTGTGTAGATAACGTGATTAACTAAAAAAAAATTCTTCCGGAACACTTAATATTAAGAAACGCATATGAGGTATTTACCCGGCTGGCGGCAGCTGACTTCTACGTTATGGCTTAATTTTGAAATCTATTAAATGTTAACAAATTAAACAATATTGTTTTATATATACACTATGTAGATAAAGAGATTAACTAAAAAAGTCTGTTCCGGAACGCTTTATATAACAAAACCCATATGAGGTATTTACCCGTCCGGAGGCTGCTACATTATGGCCAAATATTGAAAATTACTCCGCCGGAGTAGAATTATCCATTCGCATCAAATATTCATTCATTCATAATATAATATTTTCATGAATATGTACTTTTTTATGTTTTTCACAAAAAATTAAGTTTTACTTAACTTCAGGCCTCACTTAAATTTTGCAAATTAATCTGCCGGAATAGAATTTTTCGTTTGAAACAAACATTATTCAATTCAGAATATATTTTCTTCACAAATTTTAATATATTTATCTTTATTTTTTAATAAAATATAAAATTTTTACAAAAATTTTTCATCAAATGAATTCGCCGTACTTATGGTTTTTGACATCTACGTAAACCAAATGCAAAAACAAAATACATGTAAAATGTTGTTGTTGCAGAACTGCCACCACCTTATCTGAATTCGCCTTGGCTTTGTCCACAGCTTTGTCCAACAAGAAGGATTCTATAAATCGACTTTAAAATAATCGAACAATAGACATTTTGTCGGAAAAAGTCGAAGTCGACTTTTTTTGTCTTAACGAAGTCGAAAAGTCGGCCATCTTGTAAGATCTGGTCCACACTAGGAAACTTTTGTTGAAAAACTTTTTCTTAATTCTCTTTTGAAGTTTCCTTAATGTCCACACATAGAAACTTTTGTTTCAGAAACTACGTATTAATTGCATTGATTTGTTGTTTACGAATGAGAAGAATAACAAAACAAGTTTCCGAGTACGAGAAACTCCGTACCGCGAGAGAGATGAATGATATTCATTCTCTTTCTCTCTCACGCAAAATCAAAAGTTTCCCAAAAAAAGTGGACCGGCAGTAAGAAAAAAAGTCGAAAAATCCTTTTTGCAAATAAAATTCAAAAAAGTAGAAGAAATTGGAAAAAAATAAAAGTCGAAAAAAAACGAAAGGTGAAAATTTAAAGTTTTTCCAACAGTTTAAATTAAGTTAAACAATTTTTATTTAATTAAAAAAATATTTATAACAGGGACTGTAAATAATAGTTATTCTGAAATTTTTAACCCAAAAAATCTCTATGTTAGAGTCAACATAGACCTATACCATTATATACATACATACCAATATAGTCGTATTAAAGTGCTCTTTCAGAATATATGGTCATTTAAAAAAACGATCTTAGCTCCTCAAATAACAGTTATTTTTTAACGAAAAAATAAAAGTCTGATTGAAAAAGTTAAAAAATTAGTTTTATTTTTCCGTCATAAAATAAAAATTATTTGAGGAGTTTTATTTTTTCCATCAAAAAATAAAACTCATTTTTGGAGTTTTGTTTTCCCAGTCAAAAAATTAAACAATGTTTTTATTATATTTTTAGTCTCTTATGTTATTGAGTATATCTGACCAAGTCCTTTAAATAGTTGATTTGTACTGACGTTAAAAACATCTGAATCAAAAACGGCAAATGGTAACTTTTCTGTTGTGACTGAACACAAGCTTTTTTAATTTCTTCGGAAGGCATCAGTATAGAAAATGAGTTATATTTTCTGACGAAAAAAAAACTCCTCAAATAATTTTTATTTTATGACGGAAAAATAAAACTCTTTTTTAAAAAGTTTCATTTGAATTTTTATTTTTAGGTTGAAAAATGACTTTTTCACAAAATAACTGTTATAAATTAACTTTTTTGATATAACTCATAACTGTTACGGCCCCTGATTTATAAACATTCCTAATTTTTCATATTTTTGCTTCGGGAGCCAAATCATCAATAATTCTGTCCGACATGCATTAAAAAATAAATCAAAATCAGTTAAAATATGCAAAATCCGTTCATAAATAACGGAGTTATAAGCAAAAATCCTAATTTTATAAAAAAATAGAATTTAAAAAAGCAACAACAACATACAGCTGTGTTGGTTTTATTGGTTTGTGTCGTTTGGCATTCCTGATCAACTGCCGCGTACAACGCGTTATAGGCTTCTGTCAAAAAAAGTTGAATTTTAATTTAAGGTAGAAGTACACAACACGCGTTGTACGCAGCAATGTGTTATAGGCTTCTGTCAAAAAAAGTTGAAATGTGTGTTTTCATTTAACAAGTTACACACTGTAGTTTGTAACGCGTCTGCCGCGAAAAGTTCAGCCACTTTCAAAAAAAGTTGAAATAGTGTGTTTTCATTTAACAAGTTACACACTGTAGTTTGTAACGCGTCTGCCGCGAAAAGTTCAGCCACTTTCAACTTTTGACGCGTCGGCAGCTGATCAGGGTTGTAATTTGTTTTGTGTAGAATAAGAATAAACTAAAATTTCATCAACAATGAAAAAAAAAATTTTAAAATAAACAAAAACTTAAAATTTTGATTTTTAAAACAGTAATAGTCTTATAAAACATTAAAAGAGAGATCAAAATGACGCGTGGTGTGTAACTTGCCGCTTATAAAGCGTGAAACGCGTTGCTGTGTACTTCCACCTTTATAGTCAACTTATACAAAATGTTCTTCAGAATGAGTTATCCCAAAGTCATGATTTAGACAAGAAAATTTTTATAAAATAAATAAATTAAATATTTTTTTTTCATCTAACAACTTTTTATAAAATTTATGTATAATTGACTATTTCTAACATAGTCAATAAATCGACAATATTAACACCAGTCATATATATAACATACTAGCTTACCCAGTGTGCCTTGCTATACTAAAAACCATTTTCCAATGTACAATTTTTTCTAGTTGTATGTTCCCATATATACGACTTTTAGAATAAACCAAATGTTCATATTGATGCTAAAGCTACTTGTACAACAGTTCAGGCCTCCTACCTGTTATAGTTCACATAGGTGTCAAGTTGTTCTTGCAAAATTTGATGATTCTATCTCTAATAGTTTCCCATATATACGAAATTTTGTATTTTATTCATAGGGGGCGTGTCACGCCCCCTCCTCCTCCTCCAATTTATTACACGAATGTTCACACGGATGTCTAAGTTGATCTTGCTAGATTTGAATACGAATTTTTGTACTTAATTCACATGGGGGTATTTCGCCCCCTTACTAATAGTCCACCTATTTTTGTCTAAAATATTCATATTATTCTAAAGTGGCTCTCATAAAATTTGAGGACTCTAACTTATACTCTAACTTATCTCAGAAATACTAATTCAATAATTTCTGTATATAGGAAGTGCCACGCCCACTAAAACCAGTTCGCCCATTTTGCCCACAATTGTTCATATTTATGTGAAAATTGTCTATACAAAATTTTCTAGCTGTAGCAGTTTCTGAAATAGACTACTTTTAATATTTACTTTGTTTGTGGGCGTGGCACTTTGCCTACTTGAAATATCAAAATAAAAAGTTCCTTCCAGGCATACACAAAGACACTGAAAATTTCAAGAAAATCGGTCCAGCAGTCTATAGACTTCAAACAAATAAACAAACAAACAATATGGGAGGTGCCGCTCCCCTCATGGGTAGTCCGCCAATTTATTACCCAAAATGTTTAGATGGATGTTAAAGTTATTCGTGCAAAATTTGAAGATTCTAACTGTAATAGTTTCCAAGATAAACGTATTTTTGTATTTAATTTATATGGAAGGTGCCACGCCCCCTAATGCTAGTCCGCCTACTTTTTGTCTTAAATAATTATATTGACACTAAAGTTGCTCCGACAAAATTTGAGGACTCTAACTGTTATATTATCTAAAATATACGGATTTAATATGGGC